GATTCATGTTTAGGGCTGGAGAGATGGTTCACTGATTTAAAAAAAAAAAAAAATGCTGCTCCTGTAAAAGATCCATGTTCAGTTCCCAGCATCCATGTAGCAGTTCACAATCATCTGTAGCTCCAGTTCCATGAGATCCAACCACTCTCTTCTAGCCTCCATGTAGTGCATGTTCATGTGTGCAGGCAGAACATCCACACATGTAAAATAAATCTTTTCTAAAAAAAAAAAAAAAAAGTAAAGAAAAAATCTCTTATTAGGTAACTCTATTCCTCTCAAAAATCTCTATCCAAACAGAAATCTAAGCTAACCTTGTTTTTTAGGCTCTTATGGTCAAAACATTTTCTGCAACAAGCGTGGTCCAATTTGTCCATTGAATTGTTTTTCTGGGGTGTCATAACACTTAGTTTTATCTGGGAGATAAATGAGCATCTCTAGCTTTATGTTCCCAAACCGTTATTTTCAACATCTCCAAATTGATCACACTGAGGACTGTGTGGAAAATGGTAGTCAGGCCTTTTTGTTGGGACCATCATCTCCCCAATAATGACATGGAGACTTCTTAATAATTATGAAAGCCTGGCTGATAGCTTAGGCTTGGTTCTAACTAGCTCTTTTAACTTAAATTAACCTATTTCTATTCATCTACATGCTGTCACATGGCTCATGGCTTTTACCGCTTGTCCTGCATGTCTTGCTTCCTCTACATCAGACCTGCAACTCCACCCTTCTTCCCAGTGTTCTCTCTGCCCCAAAACTCCTGCCTAGCTATTGGCCATTCAGCTTTTTGTTAAACCAATAGGGGTGACACATCTTCACAGTGTACAGAAAGATTATTCCATACAGAATTACTTTAGGATTCCATAGTAAAAGCCTGGGAAGTGGTATAGTTGAGTGCTGCACACAAGGCCCCATCACTGTGCACAGCCAGAGTTTTCATTTCCCTCTGTATGCTGACTGTGGGGTCCTTTGGCTTGGAAGTTTAGTTATTTCTTGGAAATTGAGCTTTTTAATTTTGTCAGCTTTTTTTGTCCTTGTGTGAGAAGATATTCAAATGATGTTGCCCAAAGCACTCACAGAGACACAGTATGATAACTTCTGGGAAACTGGTAAGCAGGCAAGCTATTTTTAGCTTTTACTCCTTCCTTGCAAACATTTCATTTTGTTCTTTAGGGAACATTGTTGATCTGTTCATTCACTGGCAGTGCTCTGCCCCACTACAGCAGCCTCGGGTAGAATAAGCCCTCTTTTGTCCACTCTGGTGACATAACTGTGCTGATTCTTATTGGTCCAGTTTTAGCTGTAACTCATGAGTTACTCATCTGTTCATGGTTTGTTTTTTTTTTTTGTTTTTTGTTTTGTTTTGTTTTTCCTGGATATTGAGCAGACCCTTCCGTGTGTGTGTGTGTGTGTGTGTGTGTGTGTGTGTGTGTGTGTGTGTGTGTCTGTCTGTCTGTCTGTCTGTCTGTCTTCGTGCAGACCTTTCCCCCAGACTGTGTGTGTGTGTGAGATGCATGCATGTATGCATCTGCAAACACTGATTTAGAAATCTTCATATAAGTGAGATTTACAAAGCTTCTAATTTTGTCCTGTATGTGGTAGCTGATGGCATGATTTTCCCTTGTTAGTATCTCCTTAAAAGCTATGGTTTATAATCCATGAAGTTAGCATCTCTGATTCAGGAAAGATAGTTGCAAAGCTTTATCTTGTGTACCTCAGCCTCCTATTCAGTCTTTAAGAGGTCTTCCCAGTCTCTTTTCTCCGGGAACATACTCAAATGGCACTTTAATTCTTCACATAAAGGAGAAATTTGGTAAAGGACCTTTATTTTGTTTTTTTAAGTTCCCCCTTTAAAAGATTTGGATACTTTTTTAAATATCATAATATAACCCTTTTCTCTTTCTGTACAATAAAGATGCACTAGGCTAGAGCATTCTTTTTTTTAAAGATTTTATTTATTTATTTATTTATTTATTTATGCAACATTCTGCTTCCATGTATATCTGCACACCAGAAGAGCGCACCAGATCTCATAACAGATGGTTGTAAACCACCATGTGGTTGCTAGGAATTGAACTCGGGACCTCTGGAAGAGCAGCAGTGCTCTTAACCTCTGAGCCATCTCTCCAGCCCCCTAGGCTAGAGCATTCTTGTTAAGATTTTAAGTTATGGACTCGGACCATCTAGTGAAGAATCCTACTTCTGCTGTTTTATCTGTCTATGCTTCAGATTCCTTATCTCACCAATAGAAGTAATAGAACTTAGATCACACAATAATGTTGGGACATGTTGGGGGAGGCACGTGTGCATGTTCATGTGTGTCCAAATGTAATTTGTACACCTAGGTGTAGAAGCCAGAGGTCAACCTTTGGTACTGTTCCTCAGTAGTTGTCCATCTTTTTTGAGACAGTTTCTCACTGATACCTGAGACACTCTAATTAGGTTAGGCTAGCTGACTAGCAAGACTCCTCTCTTTCCACCTCCCAAGTGCTGGGATCCCAAGTGTGCATGCCACCACACCTGCCTGTTTATCAATGCTGGCCATGCAGGCGATCAAATTTAGGTCCTCATGTTTATGCAGTAGAAATTTTACCAACTGAACTATATCCTGAGCTTCTTGATTTAAATCATGTTGTTCATGTAAGAGCCGGACATAATGACTGGCTCAGGAAAGCCTCTGGGTACTGGCTGTTAAAATACTCAGTTACATTGTTTTACCCATAATGTGGATGTAATCTCAAAATGTTACATTTCAGAATGAGGCAAAATATTCTGTTTCTCAAGGAGGACCCCAAGAGAGACATACATTGTCCCCTGAAGAAGGGGAAAGGGACAAGATCTCCTGAGCTAATTGGGAACATGGGGGGGAGTGTAGAGGGAGTTAGGAGAAAGATAAGGGGAGAGGAGCACATGAGGGAGTAGTAAGATTGAGTCAGGGGAAGAATAGAGGAGAGCAAGAAAAGAGACACCATAATAGAGGGAGCCACTATAGGTTTAAAGAGAAATCTGGCACTAGGGAAATGTCCAGGGATCTACAAAGATGACCCCCAACTAACAATCTAAGCAATAGTGGAAAGGCTACCTTAAATGCCCTTCCCCTATAATGAGATTGATAACTACCTGAAATGCCATCATAGAGCCTTCACCCAGTAGATGATGGAAGCAGAAGCAGACACCCACAGCTAAACACTGAGCCAAGAGGGAGGAGTGATAAGCAAAGGGATCAAGACCAGGCTGGAGAAACCCACAGAAATAGCTGACCTGAACAAGGGGGAGCTCATGGACCCCAGACTGATAGCTGAAAAACCAGAGTAGGACAGAACCAGGCCCCCTGAATGTGGGTATCAGTTAGGAGGCATGGGCAATCTATGGGGCCTCTGGTAGTGGATCAGTATTTATCCCTAGTATACGAATGGACTTTGGGAACCCATTCCCCATAGAGGGATACTCTCTCAGCCTAGACACACGGGGGAGGGCCTAGGCCCTGCTCCAAATGATGTGACAGACTTTGAAGATCCCTGATAGAACACCTCACCCTCCCTGGGGATCAGAAAGAGGGTGGGATAGGGGGTCGATGGAGGGCAGGGGAGGAGAGGGAGAGGGAACCGGGATTGACATGTAAAACAAGCTTGTTTCTAATTTAAATTAAAAAAAAAAGAAAGAAAATGAGTGGAGGGAAATGGAGGTTTTATATATAAATAAAAGTATTATATATTTTTATACTAAAAATATTCTGTTTCTAGGAATCTTTGCCTCTTTCCTTGTACAAATTTGGGGAGAGAGGATGTCCTCAACAAAGATACCCTAATTCCAGTGCCTACTGAAGTGTTTCCCTTGCACCTCCTGTCTTGCAGCTCTCCCTATCTAGAATCAGCACAATTATAATGTGAAGTCAAGCAAAGCATATTTTTGCATAGGCAGAATGTGCCGTCATTTTGACATCTGTGCCTGTGCCCTGGGCCAAAAGCAGAATGGTTAGAGTCTGCTGATTCGGCACCCCATCTGCTGCCTTCTCCGTGGCTAAGTCCTCTGCCTGTCCCCTCCATGTGGAGCCTGGGGTGATAAAGCCTGGGAGAGTGCTGGGGTGTGAGGACTGAGACACAGGGAGACCGGAGGACCCCACCCAAATATTACCCTGTGGTGTTAGCTCTAACTCTTCTCTGTTGCTAACGGTTTGTTCTACGTATGGTGTGATGATTAAAAAACATTAGCCTGAAAAAAAAAAAGAAAGAAAGAAAGCAAAGCCACTAGCCTATTGTGAGGAATTGCTGTCTTTCTCTTGGAAGCTTTTGCGTCTGACTGGAAATTTTTTGAAACCTGGGTTTTAGAACTCTCAGCCCAGGCCTCCTGAATGAATCCCTTCCATCACAGAGGTTCTGAAGTTTCAGTGTTGTGCTTCCTTTCCATTCGAACTGACTCACCCACTTGCAACTCATTTGCAGGTGTACTTTCCAGGCCACTGGCTTCCTTTCTCTGCTTGATCTGAAAGGTCCAGCTCAGGCTTCCCACAGCATGGCTGTCTTAGGATAAATGATGTAATAAACATTAGAACACAAAACACGCATGCACGCGCGCGCGCGCGCACACACACACACACACACACACACACACACACACACACACACCCTCCCTCCCTCCCTCCCTCTATCAGTCTGGAATGTTGTGACTTAACTCTTTAACTGATTTAAACTTGAGTAGTTGAGCAACAGTGGTGAATGCCCAGAAAGGCATGTATTGAGTAAACAGGAGTAACCAACTGTGAGGAGGAGATTGGGAGAAACTGTTTATCTTAGGGAACTCCTTTGCCTTCTCCCCCAACCCCCAGCTGGGGTCAACCTCACATCCTCACACATGGTAGACAACCCTCTGCCACTGATCTACATACAACTCTAGGGCTTTGTTCTGATTCTGCCTTAAGTTTTGGTGGGTCTCAGTTATAATTCGTTGCATGTATAGTTTTACTCAGTGTTTTTAAAAATACTTTTATGTTTGCTTTCTAGACTGACTTTGCACGATTTAGTGGAACAAATGTAGAAACTGACTTTGTAGAGGTACCATCACAAATGCTGGAGAATTGGGTGTGGGATACTGAATCGCTGCGGAAACTGTCAAAACATTATAAAGATGGAAGTGCTATCTCAGATGACCTGCTTGAGAAGCTGGTTGCTTCCAGACTGGTCAACACAGGTATGGCTCAACATTGTACAGTAGGAAAGCTTTTAGGCAGGAGTTGTTTGATGCACAGCTCCTAGCTGCTCCTTCTGTCAGGCTTATTTTAGTAACATACCCCAGGAGTGCTGGTGCATGGAGGGAGGAACACTGGAGTGTGTTGGAATGGAGACAGACTCCTGGGACTATGTCTAAGGGAAAAGTCTCCTCTAGTCTTATATGGTCGGGATGCCATTTCACCTTGCTGCCCTTTTGTGATGAGTGCGTCTGGAATCAGTTTTCAAATCTCTGACCTGTGGTGTTAGAACACATAGTTCTCTCCCCAACACATTGTTCAAACACTCTTAACCTTATTAGGTCTCCTGACGCTTCGCCAAATTGTTTTGAGCAAAGTTGATCAGTCTCTCCATACCAATGCGTCGCTGGATGCTGCGAGTGAATACGCTAAATACTGCACAGAAATTTTAGGAGTTGCAGCTACACCAGGTATGAAGCATCAGCACCTGAGTTCATTTTTCTTGTGAACCCTTCCAGGCGGGTGGAGTTCCTCAAACCTCCTCTCATTCCTTTCTGCTCTCTGTAATGAGACCATGGCTTTCAGATAAGCACTCTGCCTTAGGAGTAGTCCTGTCCAAATGTGCTTGAAGGAGAGGTGTCTCCAGAGTCACCGCATTTCAGTGTAATCAGGCGTGAGCAATTGGCCTCCGCCCCAGAGCACAGCCATTCCCGTTTGGCAGCACCTGCCTGTCCCCTCCCTCCCTGTGTGCACCAAGACTTCCCTATGGTTTTCAGTAAGACCAGTTGGCAGAAGGCATTTCAAGGAGAAGCAGGAACCCCTTCACTTCTGATTTTGATGCCAGTTCAAGCTTTTGACTGGTAGTTTCTAACCTGATGTTTACCGTGTTTGTTAGAATATGAGTCTAAGCTTACATGCGTATCTTTAAGCCACCTCATTTGTATGCAAAGTGAACATTTTCACCAAGGAAATTGTTACTAAAATGAATCAGACACAGTTATGGAGGATAATAAGACAAGAGGGGTCAGTGAATCATCCAAGCCTCACTTCCTGATCTGTTACTTGTAAACCAAGGAGCAACGTTGTATCTCTTTGACAAAACTCTGCTTAGGGCAGCCCTGTGTAGACTCACTTGGTAAATCTTTTCAACAAGCTTTTCATTTTCAGAAGTTATCAACCTACACAAATGTCATTTTATTTAGAAACATCTTAGATATTAAGAAGTATGTAGGGTTTAAGCATTAGTGGGCTTCTATAGCCTGTGCTAGGCTGGGCTTGATTCCCAGATCCTGGTCTGCAGGGTGGAAGGGGTGAGGGGGTGGGTGGCTTGAGCCAAAAAGTAGGGTTATCGGTAGAGTATTTAAAGGCACATTGGCATCTAAGGTCTGACTTTCCCCTTTGAGCTAGGGTGTGGACAAAGCTTCAGAAACTGTTGTTAGGCATTCCAGAGCTGGGCCTGAACTACTGATAGGAGAAGTGCTCATAAACATCTCAGCCACAGGTACACACTACCCAGTGAGATGCTATCATTCACTCTCTCCTCACAGCTGGGCTCCCCAAAGGCGAGCTACCTAGCTCATAACCTGATTAATTAGCATCTGCCATCATACTGATTGAAATGTATCTTTTTTTTAAGGCACAAATATGCCAGCTACTTTTGGACATTTGGCAGGAGGCTATGATGGCCAATATTATGGATATCTTTGGAGTGAAGTCTTTTCCATGGACATGTTTCACAGCTGTTTTAAAAAAGAAGGGATCATGAATCCAGAGGTAATTGTTTGACTTTTTTACTCCCCTTGTGTTAATTGTGGAGTTACCCTCTCTCCCTTTGCTCCAAGTGCAAAATACTTACATTACCTAGAGTTTTAAGTGGAAGACATAGCAGCAGCTTTTAACTTTAAGGCCTGGCATCTTCTCAAATCATCATACATCATTAAGTTTCAGTGTACAAGTGATTAACTCTTAATTCTATAGGTTTAAAAAAAACCACTTCGCTTTCTTGCTTATTAACATTCCAGTATATTGCATAATTAAAAATTCAAAGGCTTGTTTATGCACTTGAGAGTTTATAGCTACTAGTTTTGACATGTGCCATGCACTGTTTCTGTTTTATAAGAGGTTGAGAAAGAAAGGTAAACTTCTTGATGATGTAAATAGTCTCTGTGTTCTGATATTCTTTACAGGGTTCTTTGTACATTTTCTGTGGGAGGCTCCCTTTTTCTGTGGCCATACTCCACCTACTCCAGAATTTGTAACCTAAGTGCCTTTGGGGTAATTTAAGCTGCTTCATTAATCTGAGCCATTCCTTCCCATGCACAGTGAGATGACTGCCAGGTGGCTGCCAGCCAACCCTTCCTGTTACAGACCCCTGCTCATCGACTACCCGACTGTCAGTTATGTCTAAGGCTGCTATATTTCCAGACTGTTTCCAAGTTCTGTTTGGTTCAGAAATTACAACAAATTACCCAAATCAAACTCTCAATGCTTATTTCAATCAGCTAACATGTTATTTGTGCTTTTGTTTCTAGATGAAGTAGTGCCTCTCTGCATACATATTGAAATATATCATGTATTTTAGGCCCCCATTTCCTCATTGTTTCTCCCTCCAGAAAATACCTCCAGGCTTAGCCATACTATTTATTATTCATTCCAAACATTTCTTCTCCCATCTCACCTCACCCAGCTGATCTCTTTATAGGTCCTTCTATGACCGTACCCACCCAGTCACAAAGGTCTGATACTGACTCTTGTTAGTATTCCAACTTCTGCCTGACTTTCAGCCTGTGAGTTGCCCTTACTTCCCCACCATCTCATGTTGAGATGGTGCCCTCCCCAGGGTCTCCTTGAGAAGATAGTGTGAGTCTTCTATTTACTTGCCCTACTGTTGAGTCCTGCTGGCTAACCTGAACTGGTCATTCAGGGTTACTCTGCTGTCCTTCCCCGACTCTATTGATTTCTTGCAGCTCCCCGGCCCCCAGCCTCTCTGTAAATCTGCCTCTTCCTCTCTTCCCAGTTACCCCTATCCCTGAGTCTCACTATGTAATTCAAGGAGGCATCCAACTCATGAACCTCTTGCCTCATCTTCCTTGGCTTTGGGGAATACAGGCTTGTGTCTCTGGACCCAATCCAAGTTCCCCCTTTGTTAAGAAAATTGAGGCAGGAATGTGGCTCAGAAGTAAAAGGGTATTCACTTAGCTCTACATATCTTCACCCCTTTATTCTCTCTGTGCCTTCCACTTTAAAAATATGTCTTATTTAGGCCAAGAGTGGGTGTCACACACCTGTAATCCCAGCACTTCAGAGATAGAGGCAGAAGGATCAGGAGTTCAAGGTCATCATCTTTGGCTACATAACAAGTTCAAGACCAGCCTGAGCCTCGTGAGACTTTGTTTTAAAAACAGCGTATGGTTTGTTTGGTTGTTTTTTTTAAATCTGTGCCTCTCAAAAATCTTACTGTTCTTTAAGATCCCACTTAAAAAGCTGCTCATGGGGCTAGAGAGGTGGCTCAGTGGCTAAGAGCATGTCTTGTTCTTGTAGAGGACCCAGGTTTGGTTTGCAGCACACACTTAAGGGCTCACAACCATCTGTAACTCCAGTTCCAGGGAATCCAATGCCCTCTTCTGAGTTCTACAAGCACCAGGCATGCATGAGACACACATCCATGCAAACAGGCAAAACATTCACATAAATAATCTAAAAATATTTTCTTAAAATATAAACTCTTCTAGATTATCCAACCAAAGTGATCCCTCGTCCACCTTCCTAACAAAACTGTGAACATGGACACATGGGAAAGGCTTTGATAAACTTTTTCTTATGTCTAGATTGTATGAAATAACTATTACATAAAGTGAAAATATTATTTGTAAAGGATTTTACACAACGTTATTAAAATATGGTTAGAACAAAAGCACACCAGAATGCTAGTGATGCTGGGTGGTAGGATTTTAAAAGGCATTGCCATTTTTTCGGTTTGCATGGAACTGTTCCTTCCTTTACACAGTTCACAGATTGGTGTGGAACTCAGAATACAGTAGGTTGCTGGGGAGTATTTGGGGAAATTTGTTTAGTGTTTCTGAGACAGTTTTGCTGGGTAACCCCAGCTGGCCTCATACTAATAGCAATTCTCCTGCCTCAGCTTCAGGAGTGCTGGGGTTGCAAATGTGCACCACCAAGCCCAGCAGAAACAGTGTTTCAAGGAGAGGGATGGTAGTCTGGGAAAGGTCCAAGAGTGACTCCTTCCTGGCTGCTGTTGCTTGGAAGGCTTCCTAGTGTAAGCATACTCTCCCTGAGTTGAGCCCCCATCTGTATTCCCACTCATCTGGCTACAGCTCAACCCCTTCACTCTTCCAGCTGTCAAAGCAGCACCACATTCGAGATCCCAGTGGATCTCAGACTGCTTGCACATCCTGCAGAAGCAGCCCTGCCATCAGGTCTCTGTGTGCTTCTTATTCTCAAACTCTGTAGTTTGGCAGTCAGCCAGGCTGCTCTTCATTAGGTGAGGACAGGAGTGAACTTGGAGAAAAAAAGATCCCAACGATGCCAAGCTGTTTCCTTGGATGATAGGAAGGCTGTCCAGTTCTACTGTGTTTCTGGATGCCGTGGCAGTGCTGGGTGGGAGTCTACTTCTTGTGAAAGGAGGCTGCTTGAATTTTCCCTTCGCCCTTCTTTTCCCTTTCCTTTCAAATGCTGTAAAGAATCCTGTCATTTATCACTGCCCTGCCATCACAAACCTGGCTCTCCAAAAGCCAAGAGGCCCTCACACCCACCCTCCCACTCTTCACTGCATATGCGGCTTCTGATTCCCCCTGTAGTGAATGCTGTGTTTGTTTTTGTAGGGTTGCTTTGCTTTGTTTTGTTTTGCAAATATTTATTCTAGCACCTGACTTACAGAATACAAATATTTATCAAAAATATAAAATTCTTGGCACAATAATCCTGTCCTATGAAAAGGCTTGCATTGTTCCCACAACTGTACAAAGGTAAACAGAAAACTAAGTTTTGTTCTTCAGCACAGTAAGCCAGGCCCTGCTTGCTTTATGTGTGATCTCAGTCTTGCCATGGCCAGCACTGTAGAAGGTGGCCTTAGCTGGGCTGTGTTCCCTTTAGTTTCTCACATAGAGGCTGGATAAGTGAGCAGAGGAACAATAGGAATTTTTGTCGGATAAAGCAATGCTCCACTTGGTCTGAAGTCATGGGAATCATCCATCACAGGCTGACGTGTAAACTGTTGGCTCAGAGCTTCACACCCCCAGTGTGTGGAGCATTTTGAGAAGGTAGCAGGATGTACGAGGACTCAGCCCAAGCACAGGAGAGGCTGGGATCAGGACCACATTGGTCATCCTACAGAAGCACATCTCCAGGCTTTCTCTTGAACATCTGCTGTCCTACAAAGCCAAGCTCTGCTCTGAGCACCACATCACCATACACTAGTGAGCAGAACTGCAGAGGTCATGCTGCACACTGGGAAAACAAACAGAGGAGGGTCAAATGTCAACCTGCAGTCTTATGAACATCGAACAGCAGCTGCCAATATTTTATGATACAGTTGTCTTCCTTCTGCTGTGGGACCTGTCTCCAAGTGTTAGACTTGGCCACTTTTCTGTTTCAGCCTCCAACTCTGCGATCGTGTTTTCTTGGTCGTTCTTCATATAAGTCTTTTTAATAAGTAAATACCACATTTTAGCTACTTAATTAGCTTATTAATTTGTACCCAAACTCAGGCTTGGGAGGTTATTTAGTTGGAAAAAAAAAAAAAAAAAAAAAAAAAAAAAAAAAAAAAATTTTTTCTTTGAAAAAAAAAAAAAAAAAAAAAAAAAAAAAAAAATCTTTGCCTTGCAGGCATGAGGGCATGAGTTAGCATCTCTAGCACCTATATAAAAGCCTGGCACGGCAACACACACCTATAACCCACCTCTAAGACAAAAGCAGATGGGTCCCCAAAACTCACTGGCTAGCTACATCCATAAGTTCCAGGGTTAGTGAGAAACCTGCTTCAAGTAATAAGGAAGGTAGAGAGGGACCGATGAAGACACCAACATTGACCTCTAACTTAAAAACGTGCATGCACACACCACACCCACACATACAACACACACACAGAAACACACACACACACACACACACAGAAAGGCCATCACATTCATGCTTTTATATACTTGTACATACATACAGAAACACATAACATGTACACACATGAAAACCCTCACACTTCTGCCCTCATCCATGTGTACACATAGAGGAGAACACACACATGCCTGAAGTCTGTTCTAATAGAACATGGAGAAGCTGCCTCACCAGGTGTAACTTCCCCCAGCACTGACAGCTGTCTTAGTAACAGTGGGAGAGCTGCTTGGGTTAGTGCTCCTCTGCCAGCTCTGGTTCTCTTCCAGGATGTCTTAAAGTTCACTAAATGTAATTTCAAAATCCAGCCCCTAATCACAGGGTTGGAAAAATGGGAGCATTTTAACTAGGGCCATTTTTTTTTAATAAGGCAACTTCATTGTGGGAAGATTTCCTAAGAGGTAATAGACATTGTGGACTCAAAGGCTATTTATATTGTTAAGCCTGAATTGTCTTTCTCTCTTTAAGAGAAATTTCTAAGCTTTGTTTCTGGCATTAATGAAGGAGAAGCACAACCAGGTGTTATTTCAGAAAGAATAGTGAAAAAACAAGACTGCTTGATTTAACTATTGGCTTTCAGTCTGTGTTGTCGTAGGAAGACCTTACATGCAATCACATACATGGAAGCAGGAATATGTCTATAAGAA